GTTCGCTGTCTCCTGCTCAGATTTTTCAGCAGGATGTGTCCTTAAATGCTGTCTGTACTGAGACTGAAACACAAATACTTTCCCACAGTAAGGACATATGAAGCTCGGCCTTGATCTCTTTTTGGTGAGTGTAGGAGATTGCAAGCCCTGTTTATTCCTCTTTAACTTCCAAAGCAAGGCTTTCTTTATTTCCCTCTCTCGCACAATATCTATCAACTTCTTTTGAAATTTCTCATCCAGTACAGAGGAGCTGGATGATGAGGCTGGGTTTTGTACTACACCATGCTGAGTTTGGCAGTGAGTCCACACTTTGAAGTTGGTATGGAAGCGCTTGTGGCAGATGTCACAAGCATACGGCTTTTCGGGATTGTGATACATATTTACATGGCGATGTAGTCCAGCACTGGATCTGAAAACCTTTAAACAGTTCCAGCATTTGAAAATCTTGTTCTGGGGCGGCTCCTCACTGTTCTCATTTGAGTCGCTGCTGGCACTCTGAGGTACTGTTTTTGACATGTTCTCATCAAGTGAGAGGGTATGTTCTTTAAATATTTTGCTCTTCTTGAATGGGTACCTTCTGTTGTCTGGCCTGTCCTTTCTTTTCCCAAAAGAATTGAAGTCTGGCCTGGAACCTTGATCATAATTTGTTTGCAAATCTTTAAGATTGACTGGCAATGAATCTCCAACTGTTATTCGAATAATGTCCATGGGGTCAGCGAGTGGACTGCTGGGCTCAGCTTTCACGCTGACTTCTCTTTCTACCTGAGTTTCTTCATCATACCTGCTGGGGTACTTTGACCTGAGAACCAGGGGAGATGTTCTTTTTGAATTGCCATTATGAGCAGATGTTTCTGGCCCGGAGGCTTTTGATACTATTTTAACAACTGACTGCTCACGATTTTGTAGTTCCTTGAGCTCCAGTGTGGGTGAGAAGACTGGAACGGGGCTGTCCATGGATAGGGATCTTCGAAGTAGGCTTTTTATGAGCGGCCCGCTCCTGTCGATGGTCTGGCTTGGCTCCCTGGCCTGACCCTGAAAGGGCACTTTGGTGTGATAGTGGGGCTCCTGCTCCTCATTGTCCTCTTTAGTGTCCTGATCAATGCCTGACTGCAGCCTGATGTGCTGCACTTCAGCATCACTGAAAGACACTGATGATGTTAGCTGGGGCCTAACAGATGTGATGTGTGACGAATTCCCTTTTAATATGGAGGTGTATGGGTAGGTGGACTTCCTTTCAGCAACTTCACTCTGCTCAGATGATTTCCTGCTGTTGGATTCAGAGTTTCTGACTGATTCATATGAGTTGCGTTCTGATGGAGGCTGAGCTGACTCTCGAGTAGAGCGGGGAGATGAGGATCTCTCTGATGTTTTTCTCGGATAATTTGAGCGTGGAGGATGGGTTGTGTCATTCCGGACCCGACACACAATGACGCTCCTTGTCTGGATGTCGTTCTCGTCCCCTTCTGAGAACGAAAGCCTTTTTCTAGACACACAGTAGGATGCATGTGGCCTTGTCGACACAATGTTGGTGAGGAAAGGGATGCCAAGGCTGTAGCCCAGCTCTTGAATTGCTGCCAGGCTCCCTTTGTCAACAAAAAGTGAGGAGGAGTAAATGTAATTCAGAACTATCTCGAAGGCGTCAGGCTCACAAAAGTCCAGGTTTACAACTCTCAGTGACTCTGCGTCCGTCCGTGTGAATAGGGACTGGAAATACTCACTGCTGGCAGCCAGAACACTCTTGTGAGCCTGGTACCTCTGGTCCGCCACAACCAGGACAACATCACACATCTGCCCCCTCAGGCGCTGCTCATTCAGAACCCCTAACACTGAGAGGGCATGGGGGGGATTGCTGTAATGCACTAGGCTCTCCATGGCTGAAAGACAAGAGGATTACATTTTAATGCAGGAATGTAAATACAAAAGGTTATCACTAAGAGTGCGCAAAATTAGTCATAGAGACGTGCATGAACAGGCACACATACAATAACAGCCAACCACAGCTCAGGTTCCTGCCCTATTGTACTCTTATTAATGTATGCCTGTGTCTATTGGCCTTGTTATTTATTATGCCACGATACCATCAGTGTCATAAATAATGGACTCTGAACAGAATATAATTATGTTATCCCAGTATATGATGTAGCCTTTTATTATAGTTAATCCAGCCAAACAAGACCTATATCAGTTATGCTAACCTGAAAATATGAGGGATTGGTTTAATGATTGGTAAAATATAACATCAAACAAAGATCAGTGTCTAAAACAAAATCAATACACATTTTTAGCCTCTAAACAGTTAATACCATTCCACCACAAGTCTTGTCGTTTTCACTCTGAACATCTTTAATTCTACTGCAGTTTTGCATGTTTTGACAATTTATGAGAATTCTTGTAATAAACTAAACTATAACTTTTTTCCATTTAAGCAATAAATTGACTTTTTAATTATTCCAGTTCTTACAATAAATAATATAATAATATAAGATATCAACTGCCACCTGGAGGCCGCTAGAAGCCTTTAAATTAACTGGCATTGGATGGATCTTTTCAGTTTTATATTCCTTCAGTCTAGACATTGCTTGGCAGTGTTAGATTAAGAATCTTTCTTAATACATTTGTGAAATATGCGGAAACAACAGCTTTAAGGTGCAGCAATAATCTTTATGATAATGTACAGTTACAGTATCATTACTGTCACTTTTAGCTGCAAAATTAAGTCGATTTAACAATTAGTTGTTCCAAAAGAAGAAAATTAAATATATTGATAATTGATTCATTGTTTATGTAATTTTTCAAGCAAAAATACAAAACATTACCAAGTTCCACCTTATCAATTGCAAAGATTCTTTGACTGTTAGACAGATGAAAAAAGGCATATGGAGACATAAGCTTGGGATTTTTTCTTATAATAATATTTTCTGATACTTTTAGACCAAGCAGATTAACCGATAATGAAAATAACCGCTGATTGCAAGTTAACCTTTGTAAGTTAAACCTTTTTATTTACCACAACATAGTACACACTAATACAGAAGGACATAGACAGATTATGGACATTACATCATGTTGGTAGTCAGAATGTATGAAAATACAGCTCTGTCAAGTCACCTTCAGCGACACAGACTAATGCAGGAAGTTTCAAAAGTTTGCTTTTAAAATAAAGGCTTTCCCCTATAGAATGTGTACTGGGCAGTGGTGGCTCGCCTCAGCAGAATTAAAGATACTCCACTTACATTGTAAAAATGTTTCATACACTTTATACTATGAAATAAAACATTAGCTTTCAAAGAAAAGAGCAGAGGTGGTGGTGTCTGCAGGCTGCATTCAGCCCTAACAACCTCCACCAATAAGATATTACAGCCAGCATGCAGGCTGAGACGCAAAACAAAAAGGTTTGCTAAAGCATCACTCACACACCAAGCTCATTGCTGTGAGCACGTAGTAATAACGACAGGTAACTCATATGAAAATATCACATTACATTGTAATCCACTCCTTTCTTCCCCTACCTGCGCTATAGTAACTACTAGACATCAAGGGGACAAGGTTTACAGAGATTTTAGTAAGAAGATTAACCTGAAACAATAAAAGCAATGGGGGACTAAAATAGGATTTTCAAACATGAAGGGGGGGGGGTCCTCCCCACACCCAGTGGAAATGATGGCCTTAGAGGTACATGTAGCAAGACCTGATGAAGTCTAATAACCCAGCCCTGCAAAGAAAGGTTTATAATGTTCAGTTTTTGTGCCATTGATTTAGTGAGGTGTGGATCTACTGTATAGTCATTATGAGGACTGTATTTTGTGTTGCTGTTAGAACCTCCATGAAGGAAGGGCTGCTGTAAGACACTACCTTAGTTTAAACTAGGTAGCCAATGAACTGAAAACTGAGTGTATTTACATTATCTAGTAATAAGACATATATTTCATTTGTTTACGTTATTCTCATATATGTACATGCCAATCACTATGTGACACATAGCATTGTGTAAAAGGCCTATTAGTTGCATTGGAGTTACCTTTAATAAATAGAGAACAGCTGCATTTTCAGCTATCTGAAGGGGTCTATTTATAAGTCTTCCACAATCTTAGTTTTCTCTAAAATAATTCACATTGCTCCTCGAAGCGTTTATTTTGAAAATTGTGACCGGAAAGCACGTTACTTATGTTGACGTTATTGACACTTGCTATAATAGGTACATGGGCAGAAGCTTCATTCATTCATCAAAAACTAAGAAGCGCTCGGTTGCGTCTTCATCAAAACTTGTAGTCCACGTAAAGAGAACCGCAGGGAACATCCAGCCGTGTGTGTGTTTGCCATGAGGAAGTCGAGCGAGGCTTTCAGCATTAGATCATCCGTGAGACGTGGCTCAGTCTCTCGTGACAGATAACTTCTCCAACCGAGGCGCCGCTTTCACTTTAGTGTTTAGTCACGCGTTTCTCTTCTTTTTTTGTGGGTAAATGGCGAAAGACCCGAGGCTTCAACCGTTCCGATTTAACGTTTCAACGGTTCTATCAAAGCAAAAGGGGAAAAGTTGAGCGCGTTTCAATGGACTCCGCCACGGTAATCCCGGAATGAAAACACACAGTCGGTGCACACCGAGAAGCTGTTGGAGTGTGGGGGAGTGAACTGTACCCGCTACCCCCGGTGGAAGTGCTGGCTGTTTTTTTTATTTGTATTGAAGCGGTCCAACCCGGCCTGGCACGGCGCGGTTGCTGTCTGCAAAACAGGTTGTAGCTAGTCGGGTTTTACAGCAGCCCAATCCCCCTTTCGAGTTACGTCAGGAAGGAAAAGGAAAAAGCTTCTCCTCAACAGCACTCTAGCAACTATGTTTCCGCCTCCCTGCTCATTGTGTCTGCCGTCAAGTTTGGTAGTCTGTCTACACTTACCCTGCCCGTCGTCAGTACGCTCTTTCCTCCACACAGCCGGGACTTTATTCACTGTTGTGTAGATTTCTGCGCGCTAGTCGTGATTCCATCCATCTTGAATTTGACGTCATCCCACACCAGGGATGAGGTCATCGCAAAGAACGCTCGTCACGTGCACTACGCTCCGATAGGCTGGTAAAGGACCAGGAGGCGGGACCAACGGAAGACTTGACACTGAGGCTAATTTAAAGGGATAGGTCATATTTTTCCTTTCAGCTGTCAATGTTTCTGTCTTTTGCAGTGTTTTTTTTATTTTATTTTTTATTATGACCTAAGGTTGCTAACTGAAATTACACTCCATATTGTAATTGTAGTTTAATTGTATTGTAAGTATAGTATAGTTTAAAGTAGGTTTGTAGCTCTATTTAGTCAGGTGTTGCAAGGGTGGAGACTTTAGTTCTTTATCTCTTTGTTAATTTTAATGTAACTGAAGCAAAGAAACATCATTTGTCACTTTGAGTATACATTTCAAATTGCCACTTTTTGATTTGAGCAAATAAAAAAGTGTTTTTAAAGGCTATTTTATGCATCCAACCACAGAAGAGATTGTCTATGGTAGGTTTAAAGTGTGAGCTGCATTTAGAATATGCATGTAACTGCATGCCCCCCCTAACCCCAGTGAAACTAATTAGGCCCATGAGTGAAAGGAAATCACTATAGCGTAGCTGTAGGCTTGTGTCATTGCTGGCATCCAGTTGGGACTTGTTGCTATGTTTATTTCTCCTACAGAAAGCCTTGTCAGCTACATTACCTGGCAACTGTCTCGTGACTCAGGTGTGGCACTGGTTGTGAAATAACTATATTTTCATCAAGTGCATTAAATATGGTATGACGGCATGTTGCATTGAGCTGATGATTTTTATTTTGTGGCGTACCTGTATTTGACCATAGTTGCATCAGCCTGCAGCCCTGCACCTCCTCACATCCATATGCTCCAGTGCGTCAGCATGTAACCACTCATTATCACTTAATGGAAAGTTTAATCAGGAACATTTTCACACCTCATTACTATAAAAGGAGCACAATTACTCTGCATGCAATTATTTAAAAGAATACAGAGGACCTTTCATCCAACATGAATGTGTGTATGTATGTCATAATGTCAATGTCTTTTTTTATTTTTAAAACATATCTTTGAAAGCCAAAGTATCTCACTGTTTCTTCATATAATGAGAATGAAGGCACGTTGGGAAAAGGCAGGGAACTTCTTACTCCTCCTTACTTGACACTAATGGCTGACACAGGTAGCATAGCAGGCACTGCCATGGTTACCTGTGTTGAAACCAAGTCATTAGGGATTTTGACTCCTATCCCACATCTCTCTCATCATAAACATGTTTACTGACCCTGACACTGCCACAGAATGGGTAAAATGACAACAACTATCACACAAAAATGAAAGTGAGGCCTCAGCTTCCTTCTTGAAAATCATGTGAATCAGAGGCTTTTCTCCTTTCTCTACCACACTGACTCACAAGCTTGTCACGTTGCCTTACGTCATAGCAGTGCAAGGAATCAAATTGTCTGAATACTGTAATATTCTTGTAATGTCAGTACACTGACAAATTTAACTCAGTATTTTTACATAAATCTAATATTTACAGCACCTGCCATGATTTCGTGATCCATCAGGGACTGATGGTGCAAACGAGGGGAGGAGAAAGACAGAGCCACAGAGGATTTGGTCTTTGAGCACACCCTGAACAGTCAGTTAGCAACATCTCAACGAGAAACATGGATGTACAATGTGGTCGTTAAATGTGTGGTTAAGATTTTGATCTGTGAAAAATGACTTGGATGCTCGCCATCTGGGTGGCCGCGGCCCTGCTGGCTCTCTGTAAAGGAGAAAACACTGTACACGAAGGTAGGCCTCTACGCAGATGATGGATTAACATGAAACTGAAGCATTGTCACAACAGAATATGGCATTTATGATGCAGATTTACACTTCTTGCTTTGCATGCTTTCATTTGTTTTTAACAGATGTATTTTACTATTTAATGTCATTATGCAGCTAGAGACTACCAAGAGAACTTAACCAACAGTAAAATGTACACATTTTGTTCCAGGAAACAGCCTGTCTACATCTGGCTACCATCTATGTATCCGCAATGAGACAAGGATTGTGTCTATCCTGGTGGTGCACAAGGTCCCCTATACCACGACGAAGCCTTGTGGCGGCTGGCTGCTCTGGAAGACATGTACAGTCACACTTTACAGGATGATCTATCAGACAGAGTACAGGACAGTGATGGAGCAGGTGACCAGGTGCTGCGATGGCTACGTTCAAGTCGGTCATTACTGTGCCCTGCGTGAGTGTACTGCACATCATTTATCCATCAGTGGGTTAGGAGAGGACAGAAGAGCACAAATAGTTCTGTTTGTTGTTAGATTTCAAGTGTCTTTGTGCAAGTGTTCATAGAATTTGATGATATACCATCACACGCTGTAGACAGATAAGTCATCCGCATGACCTTTCGGTGTGTGGTGCTGTGTGCAAGACACCAGATGGAAGCACAGAAACCGCACTGCTACAAATATCTCGCTGCTAATATATGGCCTGTAACATGTTATTTCCTTTTGAACGAAGCTGTAAACAGGAGTGGGGAGTTCACTGCCAAGCCAGGATCCTGTCCAACTGCAGATGGATTGCATCCCGGATCTGAGGACTGTGAGTGGGACATGGACTGCCCAGGCTGGCAAAAATGCTGCCAGAAATTGGATCACTCTGTCTGCAGTCAACCTGCAAGTTAGTATATATCCTGATTGTTTTTAATTAAGTATGCAACTATGGTTTCTTGGGTAAAGTCATATGTTCTTGTTTCACGCAAAACCTGTAAAAGAGACTTTCCCACTGGTTTCTAGTTTCAGTGCTGTGAGTGAAGGGAATGTTGTTTGTCATGTTCAGAGTAATGAAACATCACATTAAAGTGAGCCTATGTAACCTACGCTGTGCAACTGTGGCTACAGGTGACAGTAACAGGATAATGGCTCATGCTAAAATGTAATGTAAGAATAGCAGAAGTAGAGAAGAGTCATACAGATTAGTGACCTGACTCAGTAATGTCAGTTGCACAACAATATCTATCTTAAGTTTTCTAACATTACCACCATTATAAGCTCCTGGTCATACCAGACCTAGTATGGTTGTAACAGCAAAAATTAGTAAATTGAATTAAGACACGTTTTATTGCTAACATGAGGTATGTGTTATTTTTTTGTTCAAAAGTTATATGGTGTGACTTTATAACAGCAAGTGTCTTCAGAAGTCCCAGTTATTTGGTATAATCCACAATGTGTACCATTTTCATTGGAAACAATTTTCTACTGAAGAAATAGTCCCAGTGAAAACTGTTGAGAGTAAGAGAGTTTGTAGTTTCTTACCTTGAAAGTAACTTCACTGTACACTGATTTTTCTAAATGTCACTGGTCAAAACCAGGGGAAATCAATCCAGACGTTACTGCATGCTAGGGACTGTATCATTATTAGGTGGGTAGAGAGGAGCAACAGAAGGAAAAGGTTATGTGTATTTTCTTTGTGCCGAAGAGAAGGAAGTCTTATATTTTGGGAAGAACTGGGGATGGTCTTTTAAATTTTTCTCACCCCAGATTCAGGGTTTTATTTATACATATGTATATGTACTTCAACCTTCCTTTAACTGCACAGAATTGTGCCCGGTTCATTTAGTCCCTCTCACAATGATAATAACTGTTAGTGGAATGTTTGGGGCACACTATTCTATGATTGCCATAATTTAAAAGGTAAAATTGGGATGTGGATAAAATATAAAAAGCAAGCAATAGTGTTAAATTGGTACATCTTGTTGTATCATAAACAGTTAAGAAGCTGTGGTGGCAATTTGTTTAATAAAGCATACAAAGTATGATCTTGTCTTTCTGTAAGGTTTTATTCAAGTCATCCATGAAAGGACTCAACCGTCACACACTCTCATATGTGAAAGTCCAAAAGGGTGAAGATTGGAAGAAGCAGTATGGTTTTATCCCTGTTGGAGCGTCACTCTAACACAGTTACACATTCCTGAGTTCTGGGACAGTAAACAGACAGATAGTGTGGTGTGATGATCATGACCTTGGCTTCTTAGTAAAGTCTCAACATCCTGCTGTTTACCTGGACTTGGAAAGGTTATATGCATATAATAGCCTCTTTAATAGTTGCGTATGGTTTTACAATGACAAAGGGTTGTATAGGTTCTTAAAAACTGCCATTACAAAGCATATACATTTTATAATTTTTTATGCATCTTAACTACATTTTATAAGAATATACATTTATTAATAACTTTTTATATTAAACAAGATGTACCTATTTAACTCTGTTGCTTGCTATTTTAAAACCGTAACCAAGTTCAGGTTCAGCTGCAATCCCTACCCCAATCATTTTCGTACAGCCCCTTAGACCCCACTGGGTGCAGGTTTTCTTTGTGATTTGGGTGAACTGACCCTTTCAACTTAACTTTCAGGCTCATCATATTATTTTGAGAATGGAGGATACCGTTTCAATGCAACGGTGACAGTGAAGGCAGACTACGAACCACTGATGTCCAAGGACAGAGGACTTCTGAATCACACAAGATTGCTACAAGCAATGGTAATACTACTGCTAACACTAATACTGCTCTTACTACAGCTATTAAGACCTCTGCTGCTTATATAATATGACTGTGCTGCCAAGACCACTTGCCAGCTACCAATACTTGCTCTGATAATTCTGTTCATTGGAAAATTTTGATGATTAAAACATAGAAGATAGATACGCCAAGGCAGGTTTGACACCCATTATTTGTTTGTGTCTCTATCTCTAATAGGTGACTGGAGCTCTGGAGTCTGAAGTTTCAGTTTATTACCTCAGCTCATGGCCTGTGCATCCCTACAGAACTGCCACGTCACTTCTGATCGACTGCAACTCTACTCTTTCTCTGCACAATGTCACATCAAAGCTGCATCTTCTCCTCAAACACATACAGGAGGTGTCATCTGTAACCGTGGAAGGTGAGGAGACGTGGTTGTTCTGTACAGCAGCGCTCATCTCTCAGTACATGGGGCTTTTTTTTTGTGTTCTTTAGAGAAATGACATTCTTGTAGAGTTTTGAGAGTGATTCATGTTGCAGAGAACACAGTGTTCAGGAAAAAATGACTCAACCGCACCACAGTTTCCTTCTCCCACCACTTCTATTTGAGTGACAGTCATCTGTGGGATGTTTCCTGCAATAGCGGAAAATAACACCAGAGCGAGTGCATACACACACGTGCTCAAACACAGCAACCCCCCCACCCCCACCCCCCGTACATGGACATGAATCAGTCATACTTGTTTTGCATTTAAGACAGTAACAAGCTCGCCACACACTCAAACACACATTAAAATGTTCTTTTACAGATAATTGATTTCCTTCTCTACACTTAATGCCAGCGTGATAATGTACCACCACCTATGCATTATTTAAATTAAAGATACCGGTAGAAAGAAGACAACTGAAGACGTATTTAAAACAACAGAACAGCATTCTTACCTGAAACATTTACTCTTCTAAAACAAATGCGGAACCACAATTTCATAAACTAAATGTCTTTCCCTATAAATGATGTTGTGTGTGTATTTTATTTAATTTTTTTATTGTTCACTCATTTTGTTTTAAATAAAATTGTTATTATTACTCCTGTTGCATGCATAATCCTAATTCAGCAGCATGCATGTGCAATGTAATGTGTCCAGTGCAACCCCTTCATATGCCTGTGTTTAATTACAGATGTAGATGAGTGTGCACAGTCTGCTCTCCGTCAGTGTTCTCTTCAGGCACACTGTAACAACACGGTGGGGTCCTACCACTGTGCCTGCCAACAAGGATATACTGATGTTGAGCCCAGCAACCCTGGAGCCTATTGTACAGGTTAGACTGTGTGTGTGTGTGTGTGTGTGTGTGTGTGTGTGCATGTGGAAATATATACATTTACTGTTTTACCATGTGGTGAAGGAACAATCAACAGTCAAAGGTTCTTCAAAAACAAACCATAACAACAATACAAACAAAAACAGACAGACAAACAATAAGTATAAACAAAAATATAGATATTTTTTTCTTAATTTATATTATCTAGCAAATAATAAATTCTAGATTAAACTGGTAATCATGTTTTCCATTGTAATGTTAGTATACAAAAAGCCAAATAACTCTTATTATTATTATTATTATTATTGTTATCATTATTATTATGTGTTATTTATTTATGTATTATTATGTATTATTTATTTCCGTATTATTATGTATTATTTATTTATGTATTATTTATTATTTGACTATTCTTTGATGTTTTGTTGATTGTTTAGGTTGTTGGGCCTGATTTTGGGTTGGTGTAAAGGCATTTCTTTTCTGTGTGTTGTATTGTCTTGTTTGTCCTGAGTAATGGCATGTGTTTGTGAATAAAAAAAATCTAACTACAATTTCCAGTGTCAACAATGAACCTATAAAATCAATAAATAATGGTATATTTCCATCCTTACTACAAAGAGCACTGTCTTTTACTGCATTGTCTTTGATTAATGGTTAGTTTAGTGTCTTTATTAAATTTATCTGTAAATAAAATCATCTAAATGATCTTTTAGGGGGGGTTTTCAGCCCTCAGTAGTGTCTGCATAACAAACTGACTACCAACATCAAAATGGCAGCTTGCATGTTGCCTAAGAGGCAAGAAAAGACTGAAAGTCAAAAAAGGGAAGACAATGTGATGTGTAAAAATGTGTATATCTTTCCATATGTTGCAAGATGTTTATTCAGTGTACAACAGGCAAAGATATTTGCACAATTCAATAATTCTTCATAAGTGAGGGATACATGTCTCTTTGGTATTTTTTGTACTTATCAAACAAACATGTCAAAGGGTGAATAGTAAGCTGAGTGGCACAGGGGGGGATTCCAGCTGCTAACAGAGAAGACCAGAGCCGAAGATAGAGAGAGAAAGAGTGAGTTGTAATATCACGTTTCCTGATAAATGCTGATTCTTATCAGGGTCACATCAAAGGGAAACACCCTCAGATTCTCATTATCTTGCTGAAAGGTGAAAATCAGGAACCACTTTAAAACACAGCAGGGAAATATTCATCACCTGCTCTAACAGTCGTGTAAAAATCACAAGAAATGTTTCATCAAAGACAGAAACATTTTAGTAGGGCAAGTCTGATAGTGTAAGCCGTGTCTTTGGCACAAACAAAAGGAACAAACCACCGCCTTAAAATGAAAGTGCACAGTGGGAGGCCGCAACATGTGCCAAAGTAGTTCCTCAAGCCAATCGAAGCTGCTTGAACCAGGAAACTGTGGTTACATGTGACAACGTTCTGTCATCACTGCAAATCTAACCTGGAGGCTGTGTGACATTTATTTATTTATCTTTTTTTTAAACACAGTGATGCTAAAAACTGACTCCTTCTATATAACGTCAGCCAGTGTAGACAAGCAGCTTAGTTTCTGCTTCATAGTCACTTGGTTAACAATATAATGCAGCTGGCCAGACCTACCCAAGTCTTACAACAAATTAACATCTTGCATCAGAGGCTTTGATTTTAACATCAACTTGTATTCTTTCTTCCCAGCTGACATCAGTGTGCCGACCACCACAGAGCCTGGGCTTACCTACATTCCACCCATAAACACGACCTACACCCCAGCTTCAAACACCCCACAGCACCCTCAAAGCAACGTCACCACGGGTCTCCTTAACTCCACTGAGACAAGCATGACTACCGCTCTGACAAATACAGGCTCTGTCCCTTATAATTCATCACATGCTCCGCAGTGGACGAGTTCTGCACCTTACACCAGCATGGACTCAACTGTAGAGTCACCTCTGCCAACAACCACATGCTGTAAGAAATATTTTATTTTTATCTCAAGGCTGCTTAAAATCTTAATTTACAAGCCAAGGAAGTGGGTGCTTTTGAGTGAAAATATTACATTTTATCAAAAGTGTTTCATTTCAAAGGTGCTGATGAGCTCTCTAGACATTTAGTTAAATGTGGTTAAAGTCATTACTTTACATCTTTTGATTAAATTCATCCTCCAGCTGATGCAGTTGTCTGGAATTTTAGGGAATACAGTTATTTGCTCTCTTGCAGAGAGTTAAACGAGATTGATGATTTATACCACTCTCATAACTGTAAGGTAAATATTAAAGGACCAGTTTGTAGGATTTAGTGACATTTTGCGGTGAAGTTGCAGACTGCAACCAACTGAACACTGCTGGCGTCTATATTTGACGACCTGGGAATGAGAATGGGCTGTGAAGTGTATAGGAGAAACTATGGTGGCTGCAAAAGGCCCTAGCTGCAGCCAATGTTTGGTTTGTCCCTTCTGGGTTACTGTAGAAACATGGTGGACTCCATGGAAGGCGACCCATGGTGTCTGTAGATAAAAGCCTCTCATTCTAAGGTAATAAAAACACAATCTATATTCAGGTGATTATCCACTAATGAAAACATACTTATGAATATTATATTATATTTCTGCCAGTACATACACTGGACCTTTAAGTATATTAGCCGGTTAGCTTAGCACAAAGATTGGAAACTAGATTGGCTTTCTGTCCAAAGGTAACAACATTTTCCTACCAACATCTCTGAAACACACAGTATATGAGACTGTCCCGAGTGGGGCTAGGATTAAGCAAACAAGATATCAAATGTTAATTACTGAGCTTTAGAGGTGCTGGGAGGTGCATTCAGGTACTTTTGGACAGAGTCAGGCTCGCTGTTTCCCGTTTCCAGTCATTGTGCTAAATTAAACTAACTGGCTGCTAGCTATAGCCTTATATTTACGTAAGGACATGGGAGTGATCAAATAAGGGGAATATCCCACTAAATGTGAAACTCTTCCTTTAACCACTATGAATGAATGATAACCTTGTTCACTGTACCTTTCCCTCCTCCACTACCCACCACCACCTTCCAGCTCTGCCCAGCATCACCAGCTTGAGGCTGGCTAACGTCACTGGATCCTCCTTCCGTGTCTACTGGTTCAGCCAGTTGAAGACCAACCAGACTTACCGGGTTGTTGTAACAAGGAGGTCAGAGGTCATTCATAATAGGGAAACCAGTCAGTCAATGATGGAGGTGAGGGGTCTGCAGCCTGGGGTGCTCTACAATGTTTCTGTCACACCTTGTGTCTGTGGAAGCCAAGGAATCGCCCTCCATACATCAGTACGGACTGGTAAGAAGTGTGCACCAAAAGGAAGTTGCTTGTTCCAGAGCCTTTGATTTTTGGATCTTTTCTCATCATGTTGACATAAAGACAAACACTACACACTAGTGAGTGCATAACTTACAGTGAATTGTTACTTTTACCCATAATGAGTTGTAACATGATATACAATTTCAGTTTTAATGATTATGTTATATTGTTGCTATCACTACCATTTAAATATCAGTTTGGAAAACAAAATGGCAAAATTTGATTACTCCCACTATCAGATCAGCAAAAGAAAAAACATGGGAAATGTATTTTCCTGAACTACAGGAGCAGGAAGTGACTTACCCAGATTTTTGAAAATAAGATGCAACTACTGAATACTAACAAGTAGTAAGTAAAGCGATAAAATTGCCCTTAATGTATGATGAAGAACGGATGGGGTGAAGACATGGGCTGGTAAGAGGGCTACCATTTAATTATAGGAAATGTGTTTATTGTACCAAGTGTGTGTCTTTCTTTGTAGATGCTCAGAGTCTTGACACCACAGCACGACTTACCAACATCCAGTTCACTGCCGATCTGTACAACACCAGCAGCCAGGCCTACAAAAACCTCACTGAGAGTATTACACAGGAGGTACAGTACGTGTGTCACAAGGATTATTCAGTAACAGAATATAATCTTTGAATAGTATTCCACACACTGTAAGCATGTCCATTTCCCTGAATGACAACGCTGAAATAACAAGTTTTATTGTTTTATTCACTCATCCATCATTATTCTGGCTGTGGGGCTGTTTCCTTTTGTCACCAACAGATCTACAAGTCTCTGTCTCCAGAGATGAAGGCCTTGGTTGATTCCGGCCAGGTGAGAATTGAAATTAGAAACTTCTCCCCAGGGAGTGTGGTGGTAAACTTTACCGTCATCTTCACACCCAATCAAAACCAAGACATCAGCAATGTGTCTACAGCTCTGCTGAACTCCCTGATGAACAGCACCAAATACACTGTGGATGGAAACAACACAAGCATAATTGGTAAGTCTCTTTCTAATCTCTGTTCTAACAATATGTTTAATGAAACCAGGGCTGGTAGGTGTAAAACTCTTAGGTCGGACATGCTTGAAAGAATTGTCTTAAAATGTAACTTTCAGCAAAAGGCAAATTAGATTTTACACAACAAGATTAGTTTAGATTAGTGAACAGTGTTTTTTGAGAATAGAACTGGCATCGTCAGCTTGGGTTCAGATTATCATATTATTCAAATTATTACCAGAAAGATGTACAGTCAGCATTTATCAGGCAAGGAATTGCATTGTGGGAATTGTATAGGCCTAAAAGACAAGCTATCTCAACCTCTTCTGCCTCTATTTTGACTTTTTTTTTTACTTATTGAGACAAATGTTTTGCTTTTTGTAGATTCTAATGAATGTGCTTCAGGGGAAAATGACTGTTCCCAGTGGGCTACATGTACAAACACCTGGGCCTCCTACACATGTGTTTGCCTGGACGGATTTATAGACAACAACCCAGAAAGGGCTGGACGAGCCTGTCAAGGTATGGTATCACGGGTATCATCAGGGAGTGGTAATGGCAGACATTAAATAGATAGATTGGCACAAACAGTTATTGTTATTTTTTTAAAATCTATTTAGTGCATTAGATTAAATGCACTAAATAATATAAATAACAAAATATGACACCACCACTGACCCACAATATTTTCTACAGTTAGCGCTACCCCTTTTTCTCAAACACCCCCAACCAATGATCCAGCATTAATTACTGTAACAGCTACTCCAGGGATTATTATTATATCAACAACTACATTCACATCTACCTATCTGGTTTCAGCTCTCCCAGTGGTGACCACCACTCCAACAACTGCTACTGCCCCGTCAACCTCCACTGCTGCCCCGACAACCACAACTGCTGCCCCAACAACCACAACTGCTGCCCCGACAACCACTACTACTGCCCCGACAACCACCACATCTGCCCCGACAACCACCACTGCTGCCCCGACAACCACCACCACTGTCCCGACAACTACAACTACTGCCCCGACAACCACCACTGCTGCCCTGACAACCACAACTGCTGCCCCGACAACCACAATTGCTGCCCCAACAACCACCACATCTGCCCCGACAACCACCACTGCTGCCCTGACAACCACAACTGCTGCCCCGACAACCACCACATCTGCCCCGACAACCACTACTACTGCCCAAACAACCACAACTACTGGCCAAATAACAACCGTTACTGCCCCTGCAATCACTACTACTGACCCAACAACCACCACTACTACCCCAACAACCACTACAGCCCCAACAACCACCACTACTACCCCAACAACCACTATAGCCCCAATAACCACCACTACTACCCCAGCAACCACTACTGCCCCAACAACCACCACTACTACCCCAACAACCACTATAGCCCCAATAACCACCACTACTACCCCAGCAACCACTACTGCCCCAACAACCACCACTACTGCCCCAACAACCACCACTACTGCCCCAACAACCACTACAGCCCCAACAACCACTACAGCCCCAACAACCACCACTACTGCCCCAACAACCACTACTGCCCCAACAACCACCACTACTGCCCCAACAACCACCACTACTACCCCAACCACCACAACAGCCCCAACAACCACCACTACTGCAATGACATCCATGACTTCTAACCCCACAACTATCGCTAGCAGTCTCACTACCACCATTACAGCTCTGACCACCAAGGCTACTGCCCCAAAAACTGCCACCAATGGCTTTATGCCAGGGGCCATCTCAGTCCAGTGCAGGGTTGCTGCCATCACTGTAACAGTTGCCAGGGATTTTCTTCTGAGCACCAATATCAGGGAGAGCGCCCTGTATATGGGCCAGATGGGATGTGGCGTCAACGGAGGCAATGCCACCCATGCCCAGCTGACCGTGGCCTGGAATGAGTGTGCCACTACGATTGTGCATGTGAGTTTTTTTTTTTCATCTGACAAAGTCTTGCATTTGAGAAACTTTGGCATTTTCTTATGCTTTTATTGAACCTTAACTATGAAAATAACACAAACTGCTCGCGTCACCTGGTGTTTTAGAATGACACTTACTACATGGTATCTGTAACCCTGTTCAACACCATGGATGCATACAACTCACCCAGCGGAACAGTGGAGGTACCCAGAGTACGTCTGGAGGTTCCCATCATGTGTACCTACCTGAAGAGCATGCTTATCTCCGCTGACTTCAGCTCCATGGGGTACGACGTAGATGTAGAACTTTGTCAAAACATGGAATAAACAAGGGATGTTTAAAAGAGCAGCTACACTGCAGATCTACAGTCTATTATGTAACGGATATGTGCCTAATTGCTTTCTTGCCAAGAGTTAGACGAAAAGATTGATTCCGCCCATTTAATCTGTATGGTTGATGTGTAATTGGAGCCGCAGGATGGTTAGTTTAGTTTAGCATACAGATTGGGAAGGAGGTAAACAGCTAGCCTGGCTCTGTCCAAAGATAACATAATCTGTCTATCAGCACCTCTAAAGGTCACTGAGTAACCAGTAACTAATTGTCATTTTTACACTTTTTGTACAGATTAAACAATCGAGATATAACATGTTATTTTTATTCTTTTGCAGTGTGTTCTTGTTGTGTTTATAGCTTAATATTTTCCTGTCGCCCGTCTCCAGGTTTGACATGATTCAAGATATCATCATGGGCTCTGGGTCGTTCCAGGTGACAGTGCAGCTGATGAATGGTACAATGCCTCTACCCCACAACTACAGCTTGTCCCCTGAGGAGGCTGTGGTGTTGGAAGTCAGCCTCAACACCTCCTCAGAGCAGATTAAAGTAGTTATCAACAAATGCTGGGCCACTCCCACCCAAAACCCTGTAGACATCTCCAGCTACGTCTTCCTGGACAACAGGTCTGCTTCTACCGACTGTTTCTATTACTATTAGTATTTCAGCTAGCTACTATAACTGATACATTGTCTCTCACTTTAATTATAGCTATTCCTCATTATTGTATACATGACTGTTACCATCAATCTTCACTTGATGAACATAATTATGGGGTTCTGATTTCTAACATTCAAATATTGATATTTCATTTCAAGAATGTAAAATTTTTTCTTGTGATAAGGAGATGATTATCTTGAAAAGACAATAGGTATTTTTGTGAAGAATCAAGGAATCAAAGAAATATATTCATCATTTTACACAAGGCTGTATGACGAAATGAAAGTTCCTTTATGCTACACACATAGAAAACGATAATGTAATTCACAGAATAACATAAAAGATAAATAAAAGACAGTTATTCATATACATATATGTATACACCAAGGAAACAATCTGGGGGAATGTAAACAGCAGCAACAAAGTAGTGATGATAATATAGATAAGGAAATACAATCACATTAAACCGTAATATCAAGATAATGATTATCTAATGATTATTAGATATCAGATGCAGGCAAAGACCAAAAGAAGAAATTGCTGTTTCAGTTTCTCATCAGATCCTTTTTGTTCTGCCCTCGCAGCTGTTCCCAGAACCCATACACCAAAGTGTTGATGAACGGGAACTTCAGCGCGTCTCGTGTGTCCGTACAGATATTCTCCTTCGTCAAACTGAATGTGATCTATCTGCACTGCCAGGTCCAGATCTGTGCACAGATTGGATCAGATAGCTGTGTGCCTGTGAGTGCATCCTATTCGAAACAATAGAATACCACCTTGAGGCTCCTATAGAGTGGATGAATATAATTCCCCCACTCTGACTGAAGCATCTAGTTGTTCGAGTGTTAAAGAACTTTGCGTGTGTTTTCTTGCAGGACTGTCTACAAAGAACAGCTCGGTCTTCAAACACAATAGGAACAGCTTTCGGTTCTTCTGGACCTCTGCTGAGGTTCGATGTTGGTGAGCCTTATGGTGAGTACTTTCAAGCAGAATAACAATATGGGTGGTTCAGCTGCGCCTAAATTTGACTCAAAAATGGTATTTAATTCCAGCTGAAGTGTCTTTGTTCCACTCTGCTACTGACGAGCTGGCCAGTTTTAAAAGTAGAACAGCTATAGAGGTCTTTAGTATCCATTATAAACTTGAGAGTCTCTTCATTTTAAAATGTGAACAGGCCATCTAGATGTTGAATTATGGCTGTCTCTTTTATCAGTGTGGTGGAGAGGCAAGTTTAAGTAGCTTGATGGAAAAAGCCCTGAACAAATATATATCTTTACTTGAAGTGAATTATTTATTCAGCTTTTTGTAAGTGTGCTGAATGCAAGGTTATAAGAGCTAGTACTTATAAAAGTCACAGTATTAGTCAGTTTAAATCATCTCTTTACCATTTGGTTTTCATTATTCAATGTCCTTTTCAGATAAATCCTTTTCCTTTTTTTCCCTTCCTTTTTTCCTCACTGTGTGTGTAAATGTTTTTTATTGTGAAGCATTAATGTCAAAGATAACAAAATGAGAAGTTGCCATGCTTATTTTCCATATAAACCTAAACGACCAATGTGTAGGATTTTGTCGCATCTAGCGGTGGAGTTGAAGATTGCAAATAACTGAATACCACTCGCATCTGTTTTTGACGACCTGGTAATGAGAACGGGCTATGAAGTGTATAGGAGAAACTACGGCGGCTGCAAAAGGTCCTATCTACAGCCAGCGTTTGGTTTGTCTGTTCTGGGCTACTGTAGAAACATGGTGGTTCAACATGGTGGGCACCATGGAAGCGTGACCCGTGGCATGAGTAGATAAAAATGGCTCATTCTAAAGTAACAAAAACCCAATGATTCCTATATTCAAGTCTTTATATACTGATGAACCTATGGATATTATATTCCATTTATGCCAATAGATCCTCCAAATGTTACACACTAGACCTTTAATGTCAGGACATTGGACAAACAGACTTGAAACTTAAAAAATGTATTAAAAAAAAGGAAAAACAATAACTGATTTTAATGATTTACCCTGGAACATATTCTTGCAGAGTCCTTTGAGGATGGAATGAACACTCTTCATATAGTTGGATTCTCCTGTCTCGGAGTTGGCCTATCGCTCTTCTTCATCGTCGGTTTCATCTGCCTGTTCTACTACCAAAGGAACCGCATTGGACACTACAACTTCAGCGTCAAACCTAAGCAGGAGAACTTCACCTACCTTGTCTTTAACACCTAGGGTTGCAGCAGCACACACAAACAAAGTCACAGAATTGGAAAAGATCAACATTCTTGCAGCAGTAGATACATTTGATACTCTATTACAGCACAGCTGCCACTGAGTGGCACTGTTGCACCATTCACATATAAATTCTTACCAAACCAAACTGCAAACCGTTGCACATTAAACAATGAATGTATACGATTATATTTATATTTCACCTGCCCCCTTGATGTATATTTAAGATGTTAAAATTATAGAGTAGTTGTACACTGGAATGTCAAATAAAGTGACTATGAATATTTAATGAATATTTAACATTAAAGCCTGAATATGTATGACTTGTTAAACATTTGAAACTGTCTTAAAAATGTTAAGCTACATTTTGTCAGTTAATACACAAACTAAATTCTGAATATTTACATGGTTTATGTAAAAATATTGCAATGTAATGAGTTTGCACTAAACTTGCTTGTATTGCTTTGTGGAAGTAATCATGTTCATGTAGTCAAATGTGCTTAAAATACAGAATCTGCAATACTGGTCAGGCACAGTTATCACTTTATTTTCTTTTAGCTGCTATTTTTCTACAATTGCACTCTTTGTATTTGTACTGTTTGTTACACATCTGAAATATTTATTCTGCTGTCCCTTGAACAAACTGTTAGTGCTGTAAGTGGGGTGACAATAAACACGTCCTGTTTGAATGCAGACACTTGGGGGCGCTGCTGACACAGTTCTTCAATCTATAAAAACAAGGCAAGATGGCTTCCTGCATGCATAGAGATGACATGTTTACAGTTTAGAGGACAACAAAAGAAAATGTTTCATCTTTTTTTGGATTGGATGGACCATGTTCGTCCTTTAATCAGATCAGGGGTTAAGAAAAAGATCTCGAGTAAGCCTTTCTCAGTCGAGCAGAGCTGAAGAGGAGGATCTTTCCCCCTCATTTCCCATAATCCCACATTGTTGACTACAGGGTCATAAATGCAGCTCCTGGATCGACGGCGATGGGCTGAATACTAAACAGGAGAGGCTTTCTCTTTGAGAGGAGGTCCCTGGAGACCTGTGGTAAAGGAGGGCTTACTACCATCTGGAGGGCTGCACATGCTCCGCCTCCTAATTAACCCATTCAGCCTCACTGTCTGAGACCTGGCAACCTGTCTCTATGGCAACAGCCCATTGCAGCTAGGGATGGAGGGGATGATAGATTGAGAGAGTGAAGAAGGGAAAGAGAGCAACAGCCATCAAAAGGGAGAGAAAGAGCGGGGAAATAATTTCAGTTTAAAAGCATGAAATCGGATGAAATGAGTCTTTATCTCTGATGTAAAACAATTTCTGTATTCAGATTCTGTGATGCACGTTTCTGGGCTTCAGCTTCAGATTTCCTCTACTTCTTTTAATGAGTGATTTGGTGCTGTGTTTTGCTGTAAACACACACACAGTTGCCACAACTACTAACAATCCCCGAATTTTAAATACACAAAGCAACTGTCCAGGGAGTGATTCCTGAATCCATAAATCAGGCACTGAGGATTGGGGGTGCACTAGAGGTGAAATGAGTTTTCCCACTCCGTACGTCTAAATACCGGAAAGCAGCCTCAGCCACATCCCTCGTAATGGCTGCAACATGATCTGTGTCTCCACCGTCCTTCCTCTTTCCTCCCCCCTCTGCCTCACATCTGTCTCTCTGTGTTCAACCAGGTCAGGGCTACTCTGAGACACAGTCATTCATCATGTTTCATGCTCTGTGTGTGTGTGTGTGTGTGTGTGTGTGTGTGTGTGTGTGTGTGTGTGTGTTGTGTGTGTGTGAGAGAGAGAGCAGGATATACAGGGATCTCCAAAGGCTTTTACTCACACAGGTCATTACTAATTAAACATCCTTATTGTGTTTTTATAGAGCAGCCCGGGACCTTCCTCCCACCAGCTGGACGGTGTAATGGACTGCAATATGAGCAGCGTCATTGTGCTGGCTACGGATTGTTATAAAATCTCAGTCACCTCCTGACTTTTGCTTGTCAGTCGGTTTCATTAATGTATTTTAGCATTTCAGTGTAACAAAGTACATTTACTCAGGAACAAAGCTGAGGTACTTGTACTTTACTTGAGTATTTCCATTTCCAGGCTTGGGGAGTAACGGATTACATGCAAATAAATTATGCAATCTGGATACGACAAAAAAGGTAACTGTAATCCATTACATTTACAGAAAAAAGATGTAATCAGTTTATAGTTACATTTAGTAAATTGACACATTTTTAAAGCTGGATATGTTTTAATTTTTCTGTTTCCATTTTCTTTTCTAAGGTCACTCTGTTCTCTTGTTTTTCTTTTCATATTTTGCGTTGAGGTAATCCAAAAGTAATGGAAAGTAAGCAAGATATGTTACTTTAATAGTGTGAGACTTGGATTAGGTTACTGACTATATTTTTTTTATTGGATTACATTTTACAAATAACCTACAAAACCTTGTCCATTTCATGTCAATTCCTACTTCTGCTCCACTCCAATTCAGAGGGAAACATTCAAATATACTACTTAATCAAGATTTTCCAAACAAAATTTATGATGACAAGGTAATGAATTGTTATACATTCAACTAGCCAACAGTATACAGTAAACACAGTACATTTTGTCTTACAGGTCTGGTTATTTCCTAATCATTTTATCATAATTCCTTGAGAGCTTGGCAGTTCAAATTAATTATAGGTTAAGTCATTTGTGTTTAGTTAGTTGTGCTGTTGTGAAGGAAGGATTGATTCTTACTGACAAACCGCAGTAACTACACAAACAAATATTTTGACTGTCCAGCCAAATGCATTACAGGTAGAACAGTGGTTATGTGCTTATTAAATATGTATTCTGTATTTGTTATTTTCATAACATTAAAAAACAAAACCAATTATTTGACCTATGGCCCCCATAATGCAAATACAGCACTCTGCCTCTGTATTACCTTAAACAGATATAAAGGTAGTGCAAGGCAGAGTGAAGTAAGTACAGTCTTCAGTGTCTTCTTCCTGAGAAAATCTGAATTTAATTTGTTTTCTTACATTATATCTGTGTTTTATATTGATTATAAGTTTAAAGGGTTGAAATAGATAAGTAATTAATAACAAAATCAATCAGTCCCCAAGTATTATTTTGTGAGGTTAAGATTGCTCAAATCTAGGTTAATAAGTGTTAAAATTGTTGTATGTAGATTTTATTGTTTAACATTGTTTTATCTCTAAGATAGAGACAGATGGACTGTGGACATTTAAAGAGACATTAAATATCAGTCATAACATCATTTTGACCAGAATTGTAGTTACAGCAGTTTGGCTTTGTCAGGGCTGAGTTAAGTGAAAGTGTACTTATATATGTATTATATATATATATATTCAAATACAGTTTTCTGTATAATCTCTTTCCATGAACCTTTAGATACATTTATAGTTACATATCAGTTCCTTTCAAGGAAATTGCAGGAAGTTATGGGACCTGTAAAAGGAAATGTAAACCAACTAGTAATAAAATGCTGTTTGCACATTAATGCAATAAGTGTCACAGCAAAAACTACAGTGATAGAAATGCAATATAGAGCTCTGACTGGCATTTCTCTTTCTACCATCAAGTATAAACAGTGTAACACAACAGAAAGATTGGTGATCCATTCACACTGTCCTCTTTGGATTTTGAATAATTTGTGAGTATTTGATCAAGATGGCTGACTTGCTGATCAAGGCTGACAGATTGAGTGTTTCTTGGGCACCAATGCTATGATGAGACCCCATATTTGAAGTTCACCTACGCTGTATGTGTACAGCACGATGCATTGTGTTGTTTGTATGCATATGAGGAGATATGAGCATAATCATATATATGGTGAGGAAGGGAAGCCTAGTTAATCAGAAGCAACATGAACTGCGACAAGGAAACAGCTTCTCTACACCAAAACCTCAAACCAGCTCCCTCAATCCCTGTCCTGCTTCTTCATCGCTCTTTCCCTTACGCACTGGACTGTAAGCCATGAATGAAATATGAGTACCTGCTTTATACAGGCACCCAAAAAGGTTGCCAAAAATCGCTTGTGCTTTTTAAGGAAAGTAGGGAATGCATCGCTCTTTCCTTTGTGTTGCTGACGTGGACATCAGACGGGAGTGTACAGTGAGTCCTAGTTTTTGTCTGGCAGGGATACATGTAGTTGAACAAGGAGAGTTGTTTGACAATGGACAAGCTTTCTATTTCCAGGCTTGTTGTTTGTCGGAATAAACAGGTACTGGGTCTTGAACCTCAGTACATGTTTTGGTACATACAGAAATGTGTCCATACAACAGACGACTGTCTTGTCAGATTCATAACCTTGTTCAAGGATTTTTCACAGATGGTTACTGATTAAAATCTAAATATTGACCATTTCTGACCATTTCATTCAGGCCAAGGTCTGGTACAACTGCTTGCGTATTGACAACATTTAAAGACCCCTCCAGCAGGGGCGTTTCCAGACTTTTTTGACTGGGGTGGCACAAGGGGGGCACTGACTTATGCAGGTGGCATGAAGTATGTGTCTCAGTTTTCCAGTCATTCCCAATTTATGCAATTCCAACACCTTTTTATGGACCTCAGTATGCAGAAGTATTCCCAACATGCTAACATGGCATGGTTGGTAACAATGGATGCTTTAGGTCATCCAGTTCCATATGATACCAGGATCTTCACTCTAGTTTTAAAATGGAGCCCACTACACCCTCTGAAAGACAGTGTGGGTGGCACTTGGGGTGACCAATGAGGTGGCACATTGGGTGACCCCCCCCTCTGGAAACACCCCCGCCCTCCATACACTTTGTAAAGTAGTCCACCGATTTAGCATTGCACTGCTATAACGTTTCTGGATTTATGAGGGACAGTGTGTAACTAAAAGGCTCAAAACGGATGCAGCAGAACCAGAATTACAGTCTTTTTTTATTCTACACATTCCTCATTAAAAAGCTAATGCCTACATTACACAGAATGCAACTTGGCTGCTGACAGTTCAGTCAGAGATCCGGCTGTGTGCTAGTAGTTGCTAATGTAACTTTGAGCAGCTAGCCTCAAGCAGAGATGAGGAGTGGGCTACAGCGGTGTGGTTAACTCACTTCTGTCTAACTCCACATGCTCAGAACTTTTTCATTTTCAAACTGGTAGTCTTTAGACCCATCGTTTTTTGAGGCAGTTTCTCAGACTTTATGCAGCCCACCCCAAATCGTGTAAAGAGACTTTGATGTGTTAAATCGGTGGAGTTCTCCTTTAAAGACATAGAATTTTGAATAATGTTTGAATAATATTTATATTACTCCTCAACATGTGTGTTTGGAAAAAACATGTTTAAAATTAAAAAAAAAAATTATTTTGGAAAAGATACCAAGGACTCAGGTTTCCTATTACTAGTATTGTAACTCTTCAAATGATAATCAAGTTCAATAATCATCCATGTATTGTTTTTCAGTGTTTCTATCACACCGTTTTCCCCCTTTGTCATGCACTTAAGCTTAATGGACCATTAAAGTGTCACATTGCATCCAAATTTAGGAGCTGTGTGCTTATGCTACATGCTGAACTCATCCTCACTTCACACCATACAAACCCCCTATTTGAAAATGACTGACCATACAACAAAAACTACAATACAGTATGGCAATCTGCAAGTTATGCTTATTTATTTACACTAAAACTGATAAATGTACAGTACAGGTTTTGTAATTGTTGTATAAGCACTTAATGGTGTGGTATTTCTAATATTATTGACATATTTGTTTTAAAGAAATTGCATGAAACCAGAAAGAAATGATGTAGCACCTTTGCAATAATGACATTGGTCAAACAGCAGTGAGCTTAGAGCCAAAACCTGTCTCAAACATGCGTGTTTCAAATATGTGAGCTCCCTCTTGGATAGCGGAGGTTTTTTTTGTGGGATTCACCTCTTTTCCTATTCCAACTTAGTTGCAAATACTAGACATTTACAGTACAGAGTAGCAGTCTCTGTATAAGGTGTATCTGCCTCTGCAGAACTAGTCAGTCTGGTTCCCATCTAGGGCAAAGCGTACGACTCCGCTGCTCCTCCGAGGTTCGGGTCTCTCCAGCAGTGGCTGTGGTTCTCCTCCAGCAGCACCCTGGGAATGATGATGACTGGGTCGGAGAGGCTCGTCTTTAGCATCTCTAGAAGGCAGCACATGGTTAAGGTACCAGAGAAGAAGAAGGAGACAGAAAGAAACACAGGATGAGGCATTTCTCTCAGGCGAACAACAAGGCATCGGGTTGAGCTGAGCACCCTGTGACCGCTCATTTTAGAGGACAATGTCAGGCTTCTGTTTTAGGGATGAAAACTGAACGGGAGACAACGGGTCTTCTTTGCCTGTTTGCTTATCACAAATATTATATAAGAATGCCTCGAGGCAATCTTGATGGAATCAAGTGACTTACAAATCATATAATGTATCACTTTGAAAGTTAGACTAAAAATCATTGTTATGGTAGTACACATGCAAATTAAAGCTTTTGGTTTCTTTCTAATGTTGCTTTGGACAGCTTTGCACGTTGATCAATACAGGGCATTGATTTCAATCCATACTCTGACCCATTCGATTAGTCACAGTGACATTACGAACTACAGGATGCCAATAGCGCAATGAGGGTCTCGGGGTGTTCTGTGAAAGAATAGCTACAAGATGCAGTACTCTATGGAGACATCCAAATCACATTTGAATGGAAATAAATTAGCAGTACAAGATAGAGTGAAGATCAACATGCACTTACAATTTCCTTTGAACAGTCCCTTTCCAAAGCAGAGCCGCTTCCCTCATTCCATTCATACTTACCCTTCATCTCATATCCAAGCTAACACTTAGATATTCTAGGTATAGTGCAGAGTCTAGATCAAATTATTAAACATAACATCAGATTGCAGGTCCAACAGAAAACAGTGGCAGCATGCTTTATAGATTGAGAATGAAAAAAACAGTATGAATCTTTTACCCAGTGATGAAGAGTGCTTCAGTTTATAGCGTGACTACATGAGTGACCTGCCTCATAAATGAGCCGAATGGGGATCCCCACTCTCCTCCCTGGGTGGATAACTCAACACTCATGCAGTTTGTTTTAACCATGAGGAGTGGGTGCATTACAGGAGCTGACAGAGGTTCGAGGATGGCTGGAGATGACTGAACTAAACCTGAGGCCTCCTTAAGAAAAGGCACCTTAAGGAGCCTTACATGTAGGGTGTGACAGCAGGCAGTCAGACAGCCACATCCAACCCCCAACCCCCACTATTCTAGTGTCCATATGGAAGAGAAATACAGAGGAGCTATGGTAGAGTAGACCAGAGATAATGTGGTGGTTCACCAGAAAAACAAAACTGTGCCACTGTAATAGTAAACAAAAGTAAATCACAAGTATGTATGAATGGGAATGAGTGGCATTTGTGGTTGTAGTCTATCTATCTTCGCCACTCAGGTGATTGATTACCTGGGATTGGGTAGTGCACAGCCCCACAGGTGTTGCTTTAGAGTCTGCACCCAGCCAATATCTCGGATTGGCTGGCAGAGTTGTATGTAGTGGTACTGTTTTAGCACAACCCTTCAAATGAATCAGAATGTCACTCATTAGCACACGACAAATTGGACACAGCATCATCCACATGTGACAAATACTCTAACCATGACACCCGACTAAGGATGAGAGAACAATGCAAATGTAATATCACACATTTGTGGTTGTTCTTTTGCATAAAGCAGCATCATTTGTACATTAACTATGAGGCCTAAGAAGCACATGACATCTTATTTTGGAATAAGTTTTTTGGACATCCTTTGACATGCATATTGCTCTATAAATTGGAGGAGTTCTTGGAATATATTAGAAAAATAATATATTCTTCAGTTCTCACATGAGGGCAACATGCAGGGCCTGCAGAGGATGTCAGAGCTCATGCCAGAATGCGGAGCAATCTTGGATAAGCATAGAAAGAAGTTGTGGGAGCAAAATTCTCTTCCATGTGGATTTATTTAATGTTGTCTGTCTCACAAAGACAAACAAGACAAGGAGAACAGACAGATACCTGCAATCACTAATCTTTCACCATTCTTCTTAACAAAAAAAAGCAAGAAGACACTGCTTTTTCTGCTTTTTGAATTTATTTGTAATGTTTCATTAAATATGAGCAAGCAGATAGAAACACAAGCACGTCACAGTCATTTTTTTTTGCCCAAAACATAACTTTCTTTACCATACTTTCTATCCTTATTTACCTAATAATCACAAAGATAGCACAGGGTGTGTGGTGTGCTAAGCACCGTTTACATTTACTGCCCCTATGAGCCCCCTCCCTTGTGTTACACAACAAAGGGTCCTCCCAACCAAAGGCTGCAAAATGCTAATGAGTCGGGCCCTCATCACTGATGGGGCACGTGCTCAGCTTGGATAGACATGGTGGTAGTGGTGATGGTTGCTGTCTCAGACACCACAGATAATAGAGACAGTACAGTTTCCACTCAGAATGGAGAGAAGGAGGCTGAGTGGCAGAGCTAATGAGAACAGTGAGGCGTGTGTGGGGGGTGGAGCACAATGATGGGTGGACCCGTGACAAGACTGTACAGTGCTCTTCTAATCCAAAAACAAAGACTTGAAAAAATTGTGTCTCTCTCTCTATATAATATATATGCTAAGACTCAGAGAAAGCAGCTGGATGCTTTGGACCAAGTGCAGACCCAGCCAACATGTAGCCCTGCTATAGTAATATATAGACAGATATAAGCTATATATACAAGAGAGGTTATAATTAGTTTTAACAGATAAACAGTTACAGTACAACTTACTTTATGTTCCCTTTTTCTACACGTCACTGAGGAAATTTGGATGAAACTTTACAGCTTGTTTTGGTTTGCTTTGCTGGATACCTCTTACACACAAACACGGTAGCAGCTGGTGCGGATCTAGAGAAATATGGGGTGGCAAGAAGATTTCACAGACTTTACAGGAAATATATGCTGATCACAGACAATCGCATCTATCAATATTTGCTTGGAAAAGCCCACAAATAAAGTATTTGAACTCAAAATGATTGTGACACATTAGTAAAGCATTAAAAAGGTGGCATTAGAAAGTTGCTATATTTCCAAATCTTCAGGCATTTTTTAAAATGTATTTCCTTTTTGTTTGTACTTAAAGCTGCAGTAGGTTATTTTTTTAACAAAAACTTTCACTATATCCAGACAGTAGAACATGAGACAGATAATCTGTGAAACAATCAGGTTTCTTGTAGTGCTCCTAATGACATCTGCAAGGATCAACCTGGCCTGAATGAAAACAACCAATCAGAGCAGAGAAAGACAGAGAGACACTTCGGTGGCTTGAAGATAGTTGATTGTTGAGTCTCATTCCCAGCGTCTATATTTGACTTCCTGGGAATTAGACTCAACAATCAACTATCTTTCTGGCTCTGATTGGTTGTTTTTGTTCAGGCCCGGTGAAAGTTTCAGCACATATGAGTAAAAGTTATTTTTTTATAAAAGTGACCTACTGCAGCTTTAAGCCACTAATCACTTCGTCTAAAATGTGTCCATTACAGATCATTAAATTCATTTCAGTTTTTAACATGTTTTTTTCAAAATCTGTCTTAATTAATTTGTTAAATTTGACAATATTTGTCACCACACTGGGGTGCCACCCCTCTAGATCCGCCCCTGGGTAGCAGCACCATGGTGAACTTGCCAGACAAAGCAAAAGTAAATCCAGTGCAGAATCAACATTTTTAAAATGAACTCAACCTCTCTACCTTATACACTTTAGGCCTAGAATTTGGTTAAAACAAGTAGAACAAGATGGATTCAGTAACAGAGAGTGATGAACAATGGAGTGCAAAGCAGAAGCAATTACACTTATTATTACATCACTATACCCTTGTTGTGGTGTATTCAAATAAAAGATGGTATTAACAGATTTAATTTATTATTTATTTTGAAACGCCTTGACCTTGTAAAGAAAAATGTCACAAATGGCAGTGAATTGTTTATGATTTATTTGCAATGTGTCTCTTTGCTTCATCCATACAGCTCCCTTTTTAAAGGTAATGTGAAGGTGCTATTAAGCAGCAATATGAGCCGTCTATCATCTCATGGCAGTCTAATCATATCGGTTATGGTCACCCTCGGCCGAGTGCATTTAAAAAAAGCCAGAAGGAGGTGTGCGTTTGAGTGCATGCTACTGCAACTGCATAACGTCTGTGAATGTTTGCAGAGTGCTCAGTCTTGTTAATAAAGACCCAGTTGGAGGTGATTACACTGAGTTATGGCTATTGAGATTGACAGGCTGTGTGCTCGGCAGACGGGATCCAACCTGAACCACACATTTTCCAGCTCCGCTGAACTCATCTCTCTCTGGTTCTGAGAAATGTTGTTACTCTAATGTTAAATGTCATTACAACTGCACGACAGTATTATTTAATTCAGTGGGAATACTCATCAGCTATGCAAATGACTGGTGTTTAATGCATAATCAGTTTAGTGTGACCCAGATGGGTAGTTGGCAACAAATTGGGTGTTACAAAATAGCATTGAGTGAAGAAAAAATACCACTGTATTAATGGGTTTTACATGAGCGGAGCAAACTCTGAATGGGAGAACATGGTGTTTTCCTTTGGATGAACTGAAAACAATTTTATGTAGCCGACAACAGTTCAAAATGAGACATTGGATTACAAAATCATATTTGACAAAGCGTTGTGATATTGGCCAACAGAGACTTTGAACCCTGTGAGCTCTACGATGAACAGAGAACAGCAGCAAAAATGACAGAGCAGGTACAAAACAAGCCGTGGATCAGACACTGATGGCTAACCAAGCGGGACATTTATCAAAGATTTTCAGATTTGCTGTTAATTTAGCAAGAGCAGAAACAATATCCAAAGTGCCAATTTGATTATCTTTTCTCCAAAAACAAAATGATTGGGGGGGGAATCCTTGATAAACTCAACAAAGCAATCTGCTGGGTTGATCAAAGCCAACCCTTCAGATTTGCTTGTCGGTGGGCCCATGCAACAAGAGCCATCCATTGGCTAGCCAGGCAGCCAGTAGCCATGGCAACCTGGAGATGGAGGCGAGCAGAGTGGGGGGTGGTGGGTGGCATCAAATGGCGACGGATGCTCCCGCCCACTCGTTACTATAGTGATCTAACATAGCGTGAGGTGGGAGGAGCAATGACATGTCATGTCTCAACCCCAACATCCTCTTTTATTATTACTGTACAAACATAGCCAAGAGGTAGTGAGAGAGGACAGAGAAGAAGAATGACTGAGAGACTGAACAAAGAGGAGAAGAAGAAAGACTGGAGGGGGAAACAGAGGGAAAGAAAAGAAAGATGAGAATAAAGATGATAACCGTAATTAATTTTGCAGCCTCTGTGTTTGTTTTCCCCCCAAAATAAGAAATAAAAGGAGAAGTAGTGCTAAATGATTTTTACTCTTTTGCCTCAGCCAGTTTGTTGTTCATCTCTTTACTTTTCTCCTTGTCCCCCACCGCTGGCCGGTTCTCGGGCTGGTTCTCCGAGGTCGTCTTCTTGGAGCCCTTCAGTGCAGCACTCTGCTTATCTTTGGCTTTCTTCACAGGCTTGCTCTGGCCTGCCGCCTTGACTCCAGGCCTTTTGGATTTAGAACGAGTGGGACTATACCTGTCAACCTAAGGATGTCGGACAGCGGAAATGAGTTTCCTGAGCTGAAATGCCTCAGTTATGACTTGTCATTTCTAAAACTGTGTTGTGCAATGAGATGAGCATTACAGTAATACAAAGATTTGTGGAGCTCCCCTTTGTTCCCCCCTCCCTAAATGAATCTGAAACCATACTACAATGTTAGAAAGGTGTGTTCTCACCTGTTTGATGGGGTCTATGTAAGGCTCGCTGTACAAACTGCGTATCCTCCTCCTATCCATGGCCTTGTTGTCGGCAGGCTGCAGCGGGGCTTGGCCCTTGAAGTTGGCACTGTAGCTAGTCTCTAGGCTGGCCTTCCCAGTCGGTGGCAGGTACTGGGACTTGGCCCGGATCATCTTTGCCGGCTTCACATCTCTGTAAGCCTTGTACTCAGTTCTGGTGGAAAGAAAGAAGTCACAAGAACAAGCTTTTAAACCCATCAGTAATGATTATTAAGGGCAGATGAAAGTGACAAGTTATGGGGATGCACTGATATATTGCATATCAGTCGATATTCACCTTGTTGACTGACATTGGACAATCTGCAAAAAAGGTGCAATATCAGTTTTGTTTGGTTATTTCCAACTTGGATATTGGAGAAATAATCACCTCTGTTTTTACCAGCACTGGCACAAATGTCACACAGACACCAATGTGCACCATGCAGCAGCACAGACAGTGAGTGGCTGTCTCACATCTTGGATGAGAAGAAAAACAGACTGCAACAAGGCAGAGATGCTTATCTTTGTAGATGTCTTTGTTTCCCTGGCACAAAAGGTGAATAAATAACAACAGAAACATCTCTTGGCCAGATTGTTATTTTAAACATCAATATCAGCCCAGAATTTCCCAATTAGTGCATCCCTAACAAGTTACCTTCTGGGTAATTCATTTCTGAAAATTCTTCTGATAAACAGAAAAAAAGAGCAATAACTAGGATACTTTTAACTTAAGAGGTCTCTGCTGAAAGGAATAGTTTGACTGCTGTCTCTATGCTAAATATGAAGCTTAAAGTCTGAAATGGGGTAAATTCCCCTGAAGTCTCTGCTGGTTGCCTGGCAACCTCACAGCGACACAAGACTCCAAGAAGTCACTTCACCCAACCCATAATCCCCCATAAAACAACAACTTGCCATTTTAACACTGGCTTCCAGTCTGTATGCTAAGCTAAGTTTACCAGCTGGTTGGAGCCTCATATTTAAGGGACAGATATGGGAGTGGTATCGATCTTCTCTCAACTTCTAAAAAGAAAGCAAATAAGCAAAATGTCTAATTATTTATTTTTCTGAAAACCTTTTCCCAATCTCATTTATGCTCCATCGTTATACCTTTTCAATGTTTCTTATATTTCATAAATATGACTGTCTTTTAAGTTCCTTTTGCGGCTGACATCGCTAGTATAATTATCCCTGTGCAAATCAGTGATGGGTCTGTACATGGTCTTTTGTTGGTGACCTTGAAAACCTTCCTTGTTGCAACACGAAAATAGATATTCATTTTATTGTTTACTGTTTATACTGTTTGTTTGCAATCCCTGTCTAGAGAAAATGAATGTGAAGTGAAGTGGTGCATTACTACAGTAGGATGGAGTATGTGGGAGGAGGTCTGCACCACAGCCTGATGGTGTGATATTCTGTAGTCCTCACACAGCAGTTCTGAAGAAGGTCAGCAGTATGGCATTCACACAGAGCAGGCTGGCCTGCAGCATGTGTTCTGTATCAGCCTCCTCACATTTAAAGGCCGATGGATAGCTGTACCACAGAGGACAACCGCACCACAGCAGCTTATACCAGGTGCATATTAAAGCTGTTTACTCTATCACACTGCCTCACTCCGTCTCTCTCTCTGTATCACTTACATTTTTCTTCTCTGCAGTGGACTGTATCCCCTCAGCATTACTCATTTATTCATTTGCAGTAAACTACCATATGTTCCAGATACAGAAACTGTATGAGAGCTGCAACTAACATTTTTTTTTATTATTGATTAATATGCTAATTATTCTTTCAATTAATTAATTTTTTACTTAACAGCAAAATTATGTCATCAAATTGTCCAACCAACACCTGAAGATGTTAAACTTTATTATCACACACAAAACTTTGTCACTGCAGTTGATCAGTTTATTGGACCATTACGCACTAATATCAAACCCACTGCTAAGAATATGGGTATCATCTTCGACCAGTATAAGACATTTGACCTTCATGTCACAAAACTTGTCCAGTCCTGTTTCCTGCAGCTACAAAATATAGCAGAAATCCGAAGCTTCCTGTCCTCCAGTGATCTTGAACAAGTAATTCACAGCTTCATTTTCTCCTGTCTAGATAACTGTAACTCCCTCTACACGTGCCTCAGTCAGGTTAACGTTTACAGTTAGTACAAAATGCAGCCGCCAGACTTTTAACCAGAACCAGCCTTCGGTCCCACATTACTCCTGTTCTTGCATCCTTTCATTGGCTTCCTGTAAAATTCAGAATCAATTATAAGATCTTACTGATTACATATAAGGCACTTCATGACCTTGCCCCCAGTTACATTTCAGATCTCCTTGTTCCTCATTCCACTCCTCGGCCACTTCGCTCCTCAAATCGTGGCCTTTTATCCGTTCCACGCTCTAACTGTAAAACTAAAGGTGATCGTGCCTTTGCTGTTTTAGCCCCAACATTGTGGAATAGTCTTCTCCATTCACATAGATTCACTGAATCTGTGGACTGTTTTAAGCGGCTGCTCAAAACCCTCCTCAACAGGCAAGCCTTTTTATAGATCTCCTTGTTTGTTTCCTCGTCTGTCGTCTCTTTTAATAAAATTTTTTAATTTACATGCTCCCTATGTATGTTTGATTGGGTATGGTTATACCCATATGTATATTTATTGTTTGTAAAGCACTTTGGACCTCTGTGTCAAAAAGGTGCTATATAAATAAAACAGACACACAGAAAGAATCAATCTGTCTCTCAGATGTCTAAATATCTGAGGAGGAGGCTTCTATTCTATCTGGTCAATTTGTATGAACCTTGGATTTCTCTTAGTTTACTCCTGATTGTCACAGCCAGAAACAAAGCAAATACTTTACATTTGCTCCTGTGATAGAGATGTACTTGTACCATTATACAGCTCCATAAAAAATGATCTCAAGCATATGACTGTGAATGACTTGTCCAACAGTAATATAAAACAGTACAACCTGCCATTAATCATCGAGAAGAAAGAAAATATGTACACATCGCAGTATTTAAGTCCTCATTCAAAACATTAAAAAGGGTTCTTTATAGTTAAGTCTTGCCTCTCCTGCAATAGGATGCCGTGACGCCAGAGATAATACAAAGGAAAACAACAGCACTCTGGTTTAGGCCCGTCAGATGACACCTATCAGTCGTCCCTTGTGGCTCCAGCGAGTCACAAACACATAAACTCTGCGAACCCCAACGCAGCACAATTCGGTGTGAGCACTGAGCAACTGTAGCCAAGGCTCAGTGCAAAGTGTCTGTTCCCTGTTTCAGTAAAGAAAGGCACTATAATAGGCAACATCACTAAGTGTGGATGGAGGAGCAGACAAGGCCATCATTCTGTACTAGAGCCTCATTAGAACCATTTGTAAGCCCAAGTCATACAGAAAGACATTAAATCAATAACTGGCAGCTATGGAAAACAGCCTTGGAGACTGTGTGATTCTGTTTAATGTAACGCATGTAGCAAGGACAGGAACATTGATCTGACATCTTTTAATGTATTGCACTGCGGAGGGGCTTATGAGATGTAGCTGAGTTGCCTTACACCACGGTGTGAAAGCTGGGTTCTGACCTCAAGTGTTCTTGTGCTGGGTTGTCATGGGACAGCATGTGGGAGTGAAGATAAACAACAACAACAGGTTGTGTGCACAGTCCTGCTTTTAAGGATTTATGAGTCTATTTCAGTCTATTTTTAGGGGTTTATAATTTTGTTGCTGCCTACAGTATGTTGGTACGACTGGTGAATGTACCTTGAGTAAACTGCTGCCATGGTAGCATCTCTGTGAGGCTGTAATTAGCACTTAACTCAAACTACAGCAAAGGCTGATAGGACTGTCTTTAGTTTTGTATGTATTTGGTTATGAACCAAATTATAATCTTGCCCTGATGATGGTGCTGGAGGAAGTTAATTCATAAACTACAGCCATGTTGCTAGCATGGTTAAAAATATGAATTTCATGAAAGTTGCTCAAGTATTTCCTCTAACCTTCTTGAACAAGACAACGGACATTTACAAATTATTCAACAGATTTTCAATTAAAACCCAAATGCTCTAACTCTCATCTTCATAACTAGTTGCCATTAATCTAATATTAAAATTACACGTCAGACGTTAACATTTAAGCTGTTCATTTATTACACCAAACTGAGGCGTAATTTTACCATAATGTGAAAAGCAAACTATTTCTGACACAAACAAAGGCTGCTGACAGTGACATGACTGCTGAATACAGAAGTCCTTCCAGTGGTGCAGGGGAGAGGTGGAAATCACACAGCGAGCAATTACATAACAGGACTGAAGTCCACTTTCAATGCTCAACCGGGCAAAGAGGCCACAATGCAAAGACAGGTTACACAACAATGTCCAAGGCCAAGGGTATAAAGCACCCACATGACACCACAGGGTGTGTGTGTGTGAGAAAGACAGAGAAAGAGACAGATTGTGAGCAGGGTTCACAGTGTGAAACACCGGTCTGTACAGTAACATTGCTACTATTCATAGACATATGACTGTGTAACAATAACGCCAGTGTCTCTGTGGTCAGCGTGTACTTGGTACTTGTTTAAAAAATGAGAGCTAAAAAAGCATAATTGGTTATTGTCAGTGGGCTGTATCTGCTGCATCGAGCTACATATCAGTGGAAACAGTGTGATGTTCACATGAAGCTTTCAGCTCTGGAAATATTATCTCTGTGCTCAATGCCACAGGAGGTAGCGTTATTATTTTCTTTATTCTTTTATTGATATTCATTTTCTTTTAAATCGTTTCACGTCATAGAAGGTGTTATACCAGGAACTAGTCAGAAAGAATGCTTCTCCTCACTCAGCTTTATTTGCCATGTTTTCGGCTATCTTGCCTTTATCAGTCATGAGACACCACAGATAATAAATATACAAAGTAATCATCTATAAAAACATTTTTCCAGATTCAACCGGAAACGACCTTCTGACACCACTGATACAGTCAGCTGAAAAGGTTTGTTGAAGAAAGCACAGTGCACTGGAGGAGGGTTGTGAGACATGTTTGATATATATGATAAAACATATGATACAACATTTTCTTTCACAAAACTATTTACAACATCCAAAACATTCACAGTTTTCTGCTTGTAAATGAAGTCTGAATTCTCTGAATCTTCTCTACTTTATTACTTTGGAAGATGT